ATTAAATAAAATTAAATAATCTAAATAAAGTAAGCAAAGTTTTTACTATGGTTACAAAGATACAAAGGATATAAACATGCTAATACTTATACTTTTTTTTTAAATACATAAATATAGATAGAAAACACCCAGAACAATACAAACGTAATAAGTTCAATGTTTGTACTGTACGGAAATCGAAACCACAACCCCTGGCATAGTAGTACAGTACGCGAACCATGACAATAACGATTAGGAAATATTGATTTATTGAAATGATGGAAGAACTTCCAGTTTATAAGTATCCTTCTCGATTTCCTTAATACCGAGGGCCGTAATCATCAGCATGTTTTTGTGGACTATTTTGTGCAATTGACCTCTATCTTCGGTTGAGTGAGGAGAATTGCTGGTTTTTGTCATATTATTTGATACTTGATGGGGATTTTATGATGTTTTTTTCTTCCTTGGACAAGGCACAACACAATAGTATCTTTACATAGTGAAGATTTAGAGGAAAAGGTAGATTCAAGAAACATAGAAAGTGCTGGTAAAACTTGTCTTTAATATCCATCCATAGGTCCAATGGACTCCAAGCGAGTTAGTTTGTCATATTTCGGCAAACATTGTGTGTTCTAATAGCTTCCTAGCTCATCTGCACACGCACAGACCATCCACGCGAATAGTAGTGTAAGTATTTAGGCGTGACTAAATAAAAATTAAAAAGGAAAACATCTTTTTTTTTACCACAACGAGGAACCTCTTGGCCTGTATCTCACCAGATCTTCCAGCTGAACATGTCAATATTAATTAATTAATGGAAACATCTTGGAATTGCTGCCTATTTGTTATACTACAGCCATTGGTTTCTGGATCAATGGCCACGTACTGTGCCTTATTTGGAACCAGGACATTGTGTTGTATTAACTTCACGCTTTCACAAGACATTCACGACAAGTGAGGAAACCATGCCGATAACGGATAAAATATGGCCGGGCATGATGTGCATCAGTCTACAGCTACACTTTTAACACTTGCCTGCATTGTATAATAAAAGAGTTCGTAATGTTAAGAATGCACTCGTTTTGAATTCGAATCGGAAAAGTTTGTAAGTATTTAGTAAGAATAATAAGCTTTTCTATGAACTGCAATATCACGTTTTGTTTCCAAAGGGAAAACTGTGTTTTTAACTGATAAATCACAAGTAATAGAAAGATCTTTACGTAATTGTTTAAAATATGTTCAGCGTCTCAGCGGAAAGTTATTTAATCAGAATTATCTTTTTAGTTTTTGTTTCATATAGCAAGATCGTTTAGTAACTATTTCTATTGCCATCGATAAAACTACGGGAAAATTCGCCATTTTCATTTCACTTCTACAACTCGTATTGTGTCGTCAGGATTTTCCGAATTTTGGGCCCTATAACTCAAGATGGCGGTTAACGCTCTGACCTCACGAGGTCAAAAACTTACATTTACAACTAGTTTACACTTAATCAATACAAATTGAAACATTTTACTTTCCACCTTTTGTAGGGCAAAGCTTCTCTTTTGATTGGACTTTAAGCGCATACAAAAACCCAAGTAACCCCAACATGAAAGAGTTTAAACCTTTTGAAGATTTTTTGTTTAAACATAATTAGAAAATATTTAATTTATGCAACTGCCCTTATAAGATAGTGTCCAGAACATACATTTGAAAATGTTAATGAGTCGCTCGCTTCTTGAAGAATGAATGCGCTATTTCCGTAAACAGAGTGTACAAGTAAGATTTCTTTGTTGTGAAAAATAAAAGTTGACAATCTGGTCCAGGGTTTGTTTTGCTGCGCAGCTGGCCAATGAACTGCTTGTTTTGATATTTAAAACTTGACCAGTTATTTTTTTCTCATCGTGACATCGGGTTTGCGTAGCAGAGTGTATTAATAGCGCAGGGGACGTTCTGCCACAAAGCATGTGTGTAAATTAGTCACAATTTATACAATTTATACATTTGGTGACAAATTAACGCGTTCACGTTCGACGAAGTTACTTTTAATGTTTGTGACATAATAATAATAGGACTCATCGTGCATGATATAAGCAAAATGTGTTAGTATTTTAGATTTTGGCTAATTTGAGGCTACATACCTCTATCATGAAAATGATCTAAGGTTACAACCCTAGAGTTAATGGTGCCAGGTAATTGGTGTGATAGTTGAAACATTAGTGATTGTTATATAATAAGTAAAATGCACATTATTTTAAATTAGGCATATGTAATAAGTCCCAGAGCAGTCACGCGGCAAATGTTAAATGCAAAATAATATCTTCTATACTATATTATACTAATATTATAAAGCTGAAGAGTTTGCTTGTTCGCTTGAACGCGCTAATCTCAGCAACTACAAAAGTATCATTGTTTAGAATAGCCCATTTATCGAGGAAGGCTTTCGGCTATACATATAGCAAGTTTTCGTTCAAAAAATCTGTCCATAACCACTTTCTCCAAATGTTATCATCTTCATGAATGGTTTCTGTTTTAACTTATCGTCATCCATCATTATATCTATCATCTTAGTATGTATTTATTTATTATTATATATATTTATTATATTATTTTATATATTATTTATGTATGTGTTTAAGTAGCTTATTTGTTTTGCCGTCGCTTTGTTTTATTTAATTTTTGTTATACCGCCAAACTAATTTTTCTGCATAACCCAAAGGTAAACTGGATGAGAATGCCTTATGGCATTAAGTTCGCCTAATGTTAATATTTTTGGCATTGAAGTATAAATAAATAAATAAATAAATAACATCACCCTACAGCCAATAGGGGCAGAGCAGTAAAGAAAAATGTTGCATAAATGGGAAATATTGTACGAAGTCGCGGGCACAAATAGTCTTTCATAAAACGTGCATCAATAAACAGAGGAGTTTCTTAGAATCAAGATAATCGAAGCTAATGAGGGGCAATTTGTACAAGTCTTGAATTGTATTGGTACGTGCCGTATTATTTATGTAATGCTGATTGATAAGGGAGATAAGGTATGCGAATGACATAAGACCAATGTCTTTTGCAAAAGACGAATGAAGACTAATATATGCTTTATTGGACTTACAGTTTGCTCTATATTCTTATAACCGGTCTGTAATGTTTTCATGGACAAGACCTAACTTTGACTTTGAGATTGACTAAAACCATTTTTATCAGTTTTGAGTATCCTACTACAGTAGGTACTACGGTAATTTGTAGGTTAAAAAGCCTGCCCTTGAACTCTACCGAGATTGCTAAAAAAGAGCCAAAACCTGCGAATTCCAAGTTTGTGGTCTAATTGTTATACTTAACTAGCGGCCCGCCCCGGTTTCGCATGGTTGTAATGGATTTTCCGGCTTTTCTCTTTTATAATATGCATGTTTTATACCTATAAACCTTCCTCTTGAGTCACTTTATCTATTAAAAAAACCGCATCAAAATCCATCGTGCAGTTCTAAAGATATAAGCATACAAAGGGATAGACAGCGGAAAGCGACTTTGTTTTATACTATACTGGAAAAAATACAAATGTTTTGCCAGTCATGAATGAAAATAAATAGGTACCTTTAAAACCAATGTTTCAGAATCAATTTATATTATTTACTCTGATTAAATGGTTGCAACACATAAGAAATCACAGTAATTAAGTAGTGCAGGTACTGTATGTAATAATAATTATTAATGATAAACGTTATTATTGCAAATACGTTTGTGAGAAATGTAATAAAAAATCAAATGACCTAACAAATGGCAATGCCAGATTTTGTATGGAAAGTGGCGTCTTTTTTTTTCGCGCGGCCATCTACCAAACTTTGTTTTTTGATTACAAAATAGTGTAATAAACCAAACTTACTATGGTGTGTATACCTCTTAACTCAGTCTGAACTGAGTTACGAGCATTAGAAGTTTGATGATTTTCATACTAGATTTGCTTTTTGTGCGCAAGTTTTGTAAGAAATTGCTAAAAACAGAAACACGCCAATTTCCGGCATTGTCTTTTTCATAGAGTTCGCGTAACAGAAAACTTTGATAAGTCGACTGTTATTCTGTTATGCAATTTTTAAGTATAGGAAAAGGTGAAGAGAGGAGTATAATTGGATGAGTATCATTAAACTGTTACCTTTTCAACAAGTTACATAAATTGGTATTTTAATTCAGTGAACTACTCAACCGTTTTGACACCTGACAGGGCCTTGCGTGCTGCTTCGTAAATATTATGGTTGGGCTTGTCATGGTGTTGGCGTATGAAGGTATACATGCCAAAAGAACAGCAAACAAAATAATACTTTATTTTATTTTATTTTATTATAGTTCCCTGTGTAATACATACTAAGGAATGTGCGTTTAGATAACTATCTCAAAAATGTGTATAATATTGTTTTTAAGGTAGTCAAATTTAATATTTTATGGCGAATATGGTGTCCATGTTTATTACTATTATAGTTCCCTGTGTAATACATACTAAGGAATGTGCGTTTAGATAACTATCTCAAAAATGTGTATAATATTGTTTTTAAGGTAGTCAAATTTAATATTTTATGGCGAATATGGTGTCCATGTTTATTACTACTTTATTTTTATCTAACTTTGATTGTTTGCACTTAGGGTCAAAGACTGAAATAGTTGTTGCAGACTGTAAATAATCATGAACGACGTTAAATATTTCTTTACTTGCAAAATGATCAAATAAACTGTTTCCTAGCATCTAACTCAGCAAATTGTAGATAAATATACGAAATTAATTTTCAATGTGCAGCAACAAATCGTTCCAATTTGTGTAAAACAATGTGCTAAACTTATGTCTGCATGAGTTTTAATTAGTTTAATTAAGAGTTATGCGATGATGCAAGCATCGTGCTGAAAATTACACGAACATTTATTTATATGTTGTGAGAGGCTTCTGAAATTATTTAAAGGTCAGTCGGATGCTGCGACTAGTGTTGTCATACTGCCGTTGTTTTATATCCATGGTAATCGGCACTATCGTTATCGGGCACTGTTTTGGTTGCGCGAGCGCCGCCTCAAAGCAGTTGATGCCTGCGCGTCGCGAGGAAGACACCGCTAGCAGACGCCTGAGTAGTGCTAACAAGTGAAGTGATCGAAATATTACGAGTGATTCTATACAGTTTTGAACCTCCGGTGATTTTATTAAAGGGTGCGTGCTCACTTTTTATATGCTTTTGTGTGCGTTTATGCAGTCGTGTAGAAAGAAGCTTCTTCATGGCTATTAACTTTTTAATGGTCGAATCAGAAATCTCAAAATTATTTCCAAAATTACTTATGCAACGTAATTTTAAGAGGTATAGCTTTCTCTGCATAACATAATGTTTATAAAACGAATGCGAAATCGTTGCCCGTGACGGATATTTTATGTCAGACATCACAAATGTAATGGCCTTACATCTGGGCACATAACATCTTATTAAGCGTTAGAAGTGCGTTTTTCCAGCACGTTGCGGTTTTTGAGTCGAAAAATTGGGCCGTTAATTTGAATGCATGGGAGATAGTGTTGTCACTTGTCATTGCGAGAAAAGTTTTATTGTTTTATCCTGTCGCTTGTTTATTTTAATCTCGATGATTGAAAACAAGTGACTGTTTTGAAATTACAATATAGTGGTAATATTTAAGGAATGAATTAGTTTTTTTACACTGATATTTTGGTTTAGATACTGTAAAATTAATTTTTAATGTTAATGTTCAAAATCGTGTTCTAATACAAACATATCCTTTAATAATTATAGAGATGCTATTATTGTTTGATGTTTACAAAATACTCAATAATTGTAACACCTACCGTAACCTATATTATGTATTTATTACTTCAATGAACAATTGAAACATTTTTAAATGTACACTAGAAATTATTGTTTATTTTTTACAGGATAAAAAACATTTTCCTTTGACTTGTGAGTACATGAAAGCAATTATTTTTACCTACTTTTTGGAACTATAAAGGTACTTAAAATAAAATATTGGCACATTAACATAAAGTACTTAGTTACTGAACCGAAAAAAAATGTTTACTTAACTGAGATTTTTAACGCAATGTTTGTTTAAAATACACTTGTAGTTTTGTAGGGAAATGGTCGTTTATATTTTTCAAATAATTTAAATAGATTAAATTAATTCTCAAAAATCGTCAATTATGAATGCTAACCAAAATGTCGAGCCGTAGTCACGATGATTATTTACTTCCTACATTTTAATATAGGTACTAGATGGAATTTTAAATGCTACCTGAAGGGAAAGTACCTACTCTTAATACTGTAAACAGAAAATTTTACTAAAAGAAAACATTCCTTTATTTTTAAAAAGAAACAGAACTGCATTCAAAGAAATTTCAAATTGTAAACTGCAGATAAAAAACACGATGCCTATCTGTAATAAATTATCATCATCTCATTATTTTGGTACGTCACAATTTATGAATTACATAACAATATAGAGTTCGTCGCTTTAAACTCTTTAGCTGTCGTATTAGAGTCAAAATTACACCTTTAGATAGAATCATAGACACGATCTAAGCCCAAGTAATTGAATATTGTCCGGCGAATAGTCATGAAGTGAATGACCTCAAATAATGAAGTTCGATTCTTGTGGAATAAACAATAGTTAAGTATCACACGAGACTATTTCGAGTGAACCTATGATTTGGTTGTAAGAAGAAGTCCTTGAAAGGGTTAACAATTTTTTTGGATTGCGATAATTATTCTAAAATAGGTATGAAGGAAGTTATAACTGTCGTTATAGACTCTATAATTTAAAGAAATCGTAAATGGAGTCGTTTTACACACAAAATTGGAAAGCACGTGAGAACATATTACGAACGTTAAATTTTTTTTTTTCACTCAAGGATTCGCCGCGGAATTTATACAATTTTCACAATATTTAATATTAAAAAGGTGAATTTTTAAAGCCATTATGATATTTTCTTTTAGTCAATATTTCGCTTATAAAAATTAGAGTAGGTGGTGCATCAAAATTATATCCAGCAGTAAGCTTGGTGCAGAGTGCCAGACTCTGAATCTAATTCATTTTGGCATTGGAAAAATTCATTCTCATCTCTTCCGCGCGATAATCGCATGCTACACATTCAAATTCAATAGCAATAAAATTGATTTTGGCGTGCGTCCGCTCCGGTATACATAAAATCAATCAATTTGATACACATCTGTATTATAATGTCATTATCCGATTATGAACTAAAGAGGCCGAATGAGACAGCCGTATTTGACACAATAGCTGGATTGATTTTTTTAGGGTTTACTTTTCAGCCTAAATCCGTTGCCTTTGTGTTGTGATACATATTTATTTCATTAATCTTTTTTGCAAAATTTGATGCCACAGGCATTTTCTTTCAAGAGTGACTAAAGGGGGCAGCCCTATTTGACATTCAGTCATCTTAGGCTGGTTACACACTACGATAAAAAGTGCGTTTAGTATCGCGATCAGTTAATTATGTGAGATACTAACAAGTGAAATGATTCAAGCGCGCGATTGTATTAAATATATTTAGTGCACACGCCAGCAATTAAAAAACTTCACCGTGTAAAGGGCCTTACCGCAGATACAGTCACCAAAACAAGTAGTGGATCAGTGCATCTAAATGACGTTACTACCGTTGCTCCATAATAGTTTACTTAATGACGTAAAAAAATAGGTATTTTTTATTCCCTTAGTACTCTACATTAGTGATAATATTGATCTAGGTTTACTTTCTAGGTCAGAAAGTCTAGGCAAGAAATGCGATGAAAATAAAGTGTCCCATAACATTATGCATGTAGGGCACATCCTACATATGCATAGTAATAGTTTTAAAGTACATAATGACATTCAGAGCAACTTCAAAGTATACAATACAATGTTGCAGCTTATTTATTCAAGGCAGGCCTATTAGGCGTGGCCTGTAATAATTTTTAATATAAATCAGTTCCAGCTTATCTTAATTATTTCCTATAATTTTTAATCATCAAGAAACTACATAAATAAGGAAATGTTATTATTGCAAAGAAGCAAGTCCACTCTAATCATGTTTCTAGAGTGAATGTTTTTATACTTATTTCAATTATTATTTGATTTTAAAGCCAATTATTACCTATTCCATTTGTTACGTTTTACATAATTTAAGTAGTCTATTTCATGGAAAATTGTTGCTTAGTTTTTGTTACTATCATTTTTGAATATAAAACACAACCGTATCACAAAACAATCCATTTTTTTTTACTAAAAAAATTTTAAAAAAATTGCTTATGTCCATTGAATACCTAATCCTTCCATTCAGTTTTTTTTGTTTTTATTTTTAAAAAAAATGTTAATATGGTAGTATATCATTGCCATATCAATTACTAAATATAGTTTCTGAAGCGTAGGCAGCTGGACTACATGACATGCTAAAGGTTGCTCACATAATTCATTGCGGAAAACTACCAGCGCACAGCGGTAGCTTACCCAGACCGATGGCTTGACATGCCCTTATGTTTTAGTTTATTTTTGCACTTATTTTGATAAGTTAGCTGATTGAGAGCATAAATAAAAAAAGATTTTAATGATTCTTAAAGTCTTAACCAAGGCGTTTAAGTCGAGTTTCTTTTACGCAAGTATCAGTGAGTAGAGGCGATATTTTTTGCGACATTGTTTAGTTTTCCTTCGATTGTAGAGTTTTCCTTTTAAGCAAAGTGTAGTTTCAGTATGCACGAATAACTTACTCAACTAAAAATATTTTTTATGGTTCAATGAGGAGGAAGGAGTACATTTAAGAATGTAATAAACTCAGATTTTATGTTAAATGCTACTACAATAAAATCACATACTTAAAATACTTATGGAAGGACACGCTTTTTGGACACATTTTCGTCATAAGTAATCATAAGCTATTTAAATTCTGAACACTATTTATATTTTTTATATTGAATACAACTTTCTATAGACGATTAATAGATTTCAAAGCGAACGTTTCTTAACCTGCGACAAACGTCAATTTCGTCGTACATTTGACCTGAGCGGGCACTTAAGTTGACCCCTGTCGTTGTCGAGGACTTACCCAACGACAAGGCTGTCAGGGTCAATAGTCACTGGATATCGTAAATCAGCTAATTTTGGCATGCTCGTGGTGAAATTGAATAAACAAAAGAGTAAATACGAATAATTAGTCCACTCAAAAAGTGACCAAAAAGGGGGTGTAGAGTCCTTGAGCTGGTACCTAAGGAATTTCTTTTCTAGATTCGTTCGTTCGTTTCAGCCGAAAGACGTCCACTGCTGGACAAAGGTCTCCCCCTAGGATTTCCATAAAGACCGGTCCTGCGCCGCTCGCATCCAGGCATTTCTAGATATTTTGTCCTAAACACTTTTTCCAATTCCTATCCATTTTCGTACTATACGTCCCATTTCTGAAGAAATTGCTTAGGTACCTACCAGCTCATTCTAAACTGATTTTTTGAGTGGACTAAGTGGAATGTAGTTATTCGTTGTATTATCATTGGAGTGCATTAGTTATTCATTTTTGGTTCCGTATTTTGTCTTGCATTAGAAATAAGTCGGAAAATCCAAGTAATCCAAGTAAACTACTATTTCTTTATCAGTGTCATTATTCATCAAGTTTCAATGAGTAATGTACGCCTCTTCGTGGAAGTGGGAGGAAATTGATACTTATAATATTACGGTAAAGTCCTTCTTAAGAGCAATCCAGCCCCAGTTAATCTTGAAAATACTATTACGAAAATATCATAATTTCATCGAAAGCAGATACATTTAAATAACCTATTTACAACGATCTATATTCACAGTTATTCAGAAAATCAGAAGTTACTACTGGCACTTACAATGTAGGCAGGTTATTAGATTCAGGATTAATAAACATTATTACTGGTTGAAGATTTGATGCCAGTTGGAGTCCATTTAGTGCTAATTTATTAGTGCTCACCGCATAATCAAAATACCACATAAACATGCACTGCTTATCCATGTGAAGTGGGACGAAATTATCCTTCGGCTTGGTTACACTCGCGTGCAAAATATTCGGTTCATGTGAAAATGCAGTTATTACCTTATAAAGTTTGGCATAGGCACAGTTCTGTCGGAAAGAAGTTCTCAAGGGACTTATTAAAAAGATATGTTATGGTTAAGTTAAGTTATAATTGTTTGTAGTGTATCTTCGCA